ATACAGAAAATGTAGTGTATATAGACGGTGGAATATTACCCAGCCATTAAAAAAAAGACAAAAATCTTGCCATTTGCAACAACATGGACAGATGTTCAGGGTATTATGCTAAGGAAATGAATCAGACAGAGAAAGGCAAACACTGTATGATCTCACTTATATGTGGACTCTAAAACCAAAAGAGCTCATAGATACAGAGAACAGACTGGCCAGGGTTGGGGGTGGGCAAGATAGGTGAAGGGGGCCAAAAGATACCAAACTTCCAGTGATAAAATAAATAAGGCTTGGGGATGTCATGTACAGCATAGTGACTATCATGAATAAAACTGTATTGCATGTTTGAAAGTTGCTAAGAGAGTAGATCTTGAAAGTTCTCATCACAAAAAAAAATTGAAACTATATATGGTGATGGATATAGTGATCATTTTGCAATATATACAAAAATTGGATCATGATGTTGTACACCTAAAAATAATATAATGTGATATGTCAATTATACTTCAATTTTATTTTATTATATTTTTTAAGATTTTATTTATTTGAGAGAAAGAGCACAAGCATGATCATGGGGGAGCAGCAGAGGGAGAAGGAGAAGCAGGCTCCCCGCTGAGCAGGGAGCCCGATATGGGGCTCGATCCCAGGACCCTGAGATCATGACCTGAGCCGAAGGCAGACACTTAATGATCTGAGCCACCCAGACGCCCCTCTATTTCAATTAAAAAAAAACAAAACACAAGAACTCACTTCACATCCACGAGGATGGTTATAATCAGAAAGCCAAGTAATAACAAGTGTCGGTGAGATGCTGGAACCCTCACACATTGTTGCTGGGTGCAACCTCTTTGTAATACAGCCTTGGCAGTTCCACAAGTATTAAGCAGAGTTACCTATGATCCAACAACTCCACTAGGTGTGCACATACCTGCTAGGTATGTACCCAAGAAAAATGAAAATGTACATGAATGTTTCATAATAGCCAAAAAGTGAAAAAATCATTAACTGATAAATGGATAGACAAAAATTGGCATATTTATACCATGGAGTATTGAAAAAGAAATGAAGTACTGATATATGTTATGACATGGATGAGCCCTGAGAACATTACATTGGGTGGAAGAAGCCAGGCACAAAAGATCCTATATCACATGATTTTATTTATAGGAAGTATCCGAAATAGGCTAATTTATAGAGACAGAAAATAGACTAGTGGTTGACATGGCTGGGTATGAGTGGGAATGAGGAGCAACTGCTAAATGGGCATAAGATTTCTTTTTGTAAGCGTGAAAATATTCTAAAATTAGGTTAGATGGTTGTCTGATTCTGTGAATATAAAACCATTGAATTACCACTTCAAACCACTTCAAATGGATGATATTATAATATGAACTTTCTCTCAAAAAAGATGTTTTTCAAATGGCAAACTTAATCTGCTTCAACCTAGTATATTACATGAATTGGGCTCTTACAATATGTCAGGGACTATTCTGGGAATTTAATACAAATTCATTTAATCCTTAAAATAATATAGGTATTCTTATTAAACCCATTTTGCAGGTGAGTGAACTGAGGCTCAGGTAAGTTAAATAAATTACCCACTGTCATAGCAAATAAACATGAGTCAGAATGTGAACCCAAAGCCCGCCTGGCTCCATAGCCTGAGAATGACCCCCACCCAGTGCTACGGCAGCCTCTGGTTGGTAGTCACTTTTGGAGGGTTTACAAGTATAGTGCTTGGGGGTCAGAGACACAAATTTGAAAGCCTTGGTGCCTGTCCACAAGAAGATCACAGCCTGGGAGGAGACAGATATAATTAGAGGAAATGATGAAGATGCTCTGTGGTCAGTGCTCAACAATGAAGACAGACACACGCTCACCATGCTTCAGGAACACCCAGGTAATGACCATCCATCCTCTGTTCCTCCCTCTGTGCATGCATGAAAGTATAACAGCACTTACTTGGGACTGGGAGGGCTACCCCGAAACCTGTTCCTTCCCTATTTATTGCCAACTTGCCTCATCTAATCTGTTGTTCGAACAGACTTCCTGGGAGTCGTCTTTGATTCAACCTCTACGCCATATTCAATCAGTTCTACCCATTGGACTTCTGAGCTGCATTTTAAATCTGTCTAGTCCACTCATCTCCAAACCTGTGCCCGCTCATCTGGACTATTACATGGGTCCCCCACGAGTCTCCTTACTCGTATGTTTATCTCCCCACAAAACATTCTGCACACAGCCATTGAGGAGTCCCAGGGAGTAAACTGGGAACAGGCAAAGAGCCCCCCAGGTGTGAGAATGAGATTTAGTCGGGGGGGGGTGGTAATTACGAGGTGACATAAACAGCATGGGGCTTCTGACGGTCGACACATATCTAGGGTGGGGCATTTGTGTGTATCGACAGACCAGTGGGGGCTAGAAGGCATGGGTTACCTGTGCGTGTAGGCTGTGTCTGGGGACAGGTCACTGGCTGCATTTACACAGCAAGCAAAAAAGCCCACGAAAGAGGAGCTTCCCCCTACTGTGTGATGATCACCCCTGATGACAATCCATCTTCACCACTGTGGACTGTAGCAGATAGGAGTAGGATGCGAGGGAGGAAGTGAACAGAAATATCTCAAGGTCGCTTGCCTTAAGGACCCTAAGGCCCCAGGGGACAGGGGCATCTGGATAGACAGCCACCAAGGCTGTCACTCACTAGGAGACAAAAAGGTGAAGGGATCCGAAGGGAGCTGGGGGTGGAGAGAGGAAACTGAATGTTGCAAGGAATTTGCTGGGCCCTTGTCCCTGGTCTCCGGGAGGAAGTCTCTAATAAATCCAGTTTCCCAAGTGATAGGAGTGGCTTTGTTATTCCTGATGGGACCCCGATAGTTGGTAGGAACAAGGGACTCCGTGGCCTCGAGGTAGTTTCAGGATGGGGCTGGCCTTGCCAACCTTAGGCTGGGGTTTTGAGATGGAGAGAGGAACTAGATTGAGTTCAATTATCTGGCCAGTGAGCTAATCAATCATGCTGAAGGGATGAATCCCAATAAAAAGGCAACACGGAAGCTTGAGTGACCTTCCTGGTTGGTAATACACATCCAAGTGCGAAGACTGTGCTGTGTTCTGACTCCTCAGGGAGGGGACATGGCAGCTTTAAGTTTGGGACCTTCCCAGACCTCGCCCTTTCTTTCTTTTGCATGGTCCTGATTTCTGTCCTTTTATTGCTATTAATAAAACGGTAAGTACAGCACTTTCCTGAGTTCTGGGAGTCATTCCAGTGAATTACTGAGCCTGAGGGGAGAGCGGGAACCCCTGAATTTGTAGCTACTCAGCAATGGGGTTCAGGAAATGCTACTCCAAAATATGGTGCCTTGGCATGCTGAATATTTTAAGTTAAAGAAGTCTGAGAAAGTGGCAGAAACAGAAAGGTCACTTTGACCTCTTTGCCCCTCATCCTTGAGAGGTGCCCTCTATACTCAAGGAAAAGAGATTCCCCTTGTGCAAAGACAGCAAGATGCCAAGAAGAATCCTAACAAACAGGCTTTGCTAAGTTTTCCTCACTGTACAATTACCTCACACTCCTTAACCTACCATATTCCATGGCTGTCCACTCCTCATCACACCCAGCATAAAAATACACAAGTCTGGGGAACCTGGGTGGCTCAGTGGGTTAAGCATCCGACTCTTGATCTCAGCTCAGGTCTTGATCTCAAGGTCATGAGTTCAAGCCCTGCACTGGACTCCATGCTGGGCATGGAGACTACTTAAAAAAAAAACAAAAAAACCCCACACAAGTTTGTTTTGGGGGGGTCTTCTGAAGAACCCCCCATGCCACATAAAACTTGTATCACATAAATTTCTATGTTTATCTCCTGTTATTCTATCAGTTTAATTTTTAGACCCAGTCAGGGGCCTAAGAGGGTTTGAAAGAGGACTTCAGCTACCCCCATGTTGACCTGTCTGTACTTCTTGATTCTTTCCAGCTTATCTCTTAAACCCAGACAAACGACCCTGCGGGGAAAAGCATCCCATCACGGGTGATGGGAACCAAGACTACCCCCTCAAGCAGTAATAACTGTTCTGACACCAGCAAGACCCCACGTGACTGCCCCCAAGACAATGATCGACCTGACCTTCACTGCCCACCTGCACGTACCCACCGACCTTTGTCCCACATTTTCCTGATATAAACCTGAAATATTTTCGGCACTTCAGAGACAGTCTTTGTGACGTGAGCCCGCTGTCTTCCCGGGGCTGGCCTCGCTGAAATGAATTCGTTTCTTGTTTCCCCACTGCTCCTCTCTCTGCCTTTGGGCTGAACCTGGTCTGTTTGGGCCCCTTGGAGCCAGATGCTCTTGTACCCCTTGAACCCCAGTTACAGGTTGAGGAAAACATTCCTCCCCTAGACTGGTCAGAAGGGTGGGGGGTTGTCTGGGAACCCCTGAGCTTGCAGCTCGTGTCTGCAGAGGAGTCTTGTGGAACACTGTGCCCTTAACTTGTGAAGTCTGGCCTGACCCTGGGTCATCAGTGTTGGAATTTAACATTGCACCAAACAGCACTTTCCACCCCACTGGGGAAAAGGGGTCTGCATCCCGACACGGCATGCTTTGCAAGCCCCGATATAAGGCTGTGTCTTTGTGTATCCTACTGGGCCCTCTGGCTAACAGCAACCTGGAAGCCCAGAGAGCCAAGGGCAGCAGATTGAGAAAACATAAAGGTGTGTTTTGCAGTGTCCCTGTCCTAGTTAGAACCACCCTGCCCTGCTCTGATCTTAGGGACCGGGGGATGGTCTCAACACTCCCCTCTGTGTTTGGTTTCTGGTGGGAACTATCCTATCCTAGTTGAAGGGTGGGGAGTGAAGCTGGTGGGGGTACAGAGGAAACCACGTCTTCAGGAGGGGTTCTAGAGGGAAACGGCAGATCTGGTGACTACCTGGGTTTGGGGACAGCTGTGTTTTACACATTTAGTGAGCAATACACTTGGCACTTTCACATAAATACAGCCGATCCACCAACAACGGGTTTGAACTGCACAGGTCACTTATACATGGATTTTCTTTGATAAACAGAGCACAGAACCGTAAATGTATTCTCTCTTCCTTATGATTTTCTTAATAACATTTTCTTTTCTCTAGCCGAGTAAGAATACAGCGAATACACAGAACATACAAAATACATGTTAATCAACTGTTCATGTCATTGGTAATGCTTCTGGTCGACAGGAGGCTATTAGTAGGTAATTTTGGGAGAGTCAAAAGTTATATGTGGATTTTTGACTGTGCATGGGGGTCAGTGTCCCCGATCCCCTCAAGCTGTTCAAGGATCAACTGTATCTGGGTTTCTCGATTCTCTGAAAAAAAAAAGAGAAACCCTGTTCCCACAGAGCAATACCCAGCTGCAGCTAACAACTGCCCTCTCTGGACAGTGTGTGTGCTCCCCACCAGGGCCTCACAGCCAGCCTGCCATTACATCTCCTTTTCTTGCTTATCCAACACCCCTTTGCGGGCTCCAGTAACTGCGGCAGCTGGAGAGAACCCTGCATTCTCGGGCTGGGGTCTATAAAACCCCAGACAAAACAAGTGGAGCAGAGAGGTTCTGCTAATAGATTCTGAACATCCATGAGGACAGTGGCTAACTGCTTCTGAATTTCTCTAGCAGTCAGATCACCATCATGTGCTCTTTCCAACCACAGGAACCTTCCCGATAGATCAAGGGCTTTATTGTTGGATATAAACAGTTTCTGAGCACAGATTCTGTGCTGGAGTTTCTCCCTTTCCAAATATGGACCCAGTCTGCCTGGCCCTGGGCTCTCTTCCCCCGGGGCAAGGAGACTCGGAAGCAGGGAGACATCCCACAGGCTTTCCCAGAATGTGGCCAAACTCTCAGTAAATAGAATTTAGTGTCCAGTAAAAGCCCGGAAGCAGCTGGGTTTCTTCCACTTCTCACACCGGCTCTTCTGGAGTCTGAGAAGTTAGCAGAGTCCATTAAACAAAGTGAAGGATTCAGGGGCCAATCGGCCCAGCGGTCTTCACTGTGCTCTCACAGGTCCGGCTTTGTCGTCCCCATTTTGATCCTGACTTGGCATCTCTAAGTCCAGGCGTCTCAGGGAGCATACGAAGTAGCGAGGAGGCTTGCAGACCAAGTCAAGTTCCTCCTTCCTGGACCCCAGGGCCGGCAGGATCAGCTGGTGGGCGTGCAGGTGAAGGGGGATGTGGCGGGCCTTCGCCTGGTGCAGCCCCAGCTTCTTCAGGGTACCAAGAGACAGCTTCTGTACAAAGACAAGACAGCTTCTTGAGAGCTAGGCCAAGAGCTCATCCTTGAGCAGTACGCTGGGTCAGAAGTCTTCCACTTAAAGGAACCACCACTGACTCCTCTGGAAGGCACAGCGGTGGACAGCCTGCTTCAGGGACATTCCCAGGAAGGGTTTGGAACCCAGGTGAGAGAAAAACCACCACACCTGGGAAGCTCTTATCAGCCAGTTCTCTGGCCTGCCTAGAGAATGGGCTGTAACATCAAGAGATAAAAAAGTGTCCTCCAGGGATCTTCAGCAATAGTAGGAAAGGCTGCTTGAAGGCTTCAGAAAGTCTCCCCCAACCTGCCCACAGCCTCCTAACAAAATCTGAGATGAACGAATGAAGCAGAAGGGTTTTGCTAACAGATCCTGCAGCTCCGTGAGAACAGTAGCTGCTTCTCTCTAAGCTAGGTAACTAGTACATGTAACTAACACGGTACCATATCTGAAGACAATACATCCTTGTGGTGACTCACTTGGGACTTTAACAAGGGGAAAGCATAAGCTCCCCCCCCCCACTTAGCTGTTGCACATTGGGTCACACCAGTATCACCTGGGGGGCCAGCTGAGTCCAGTTTGAGTACTTGTGATCACCAAGGATTGGGCAATCCAGTCCAAAAGACAGATGAACTCGAAGCTGATGTTTTATTCCTTTACCAAAAAAAAAAAAAAAAAAAAGAGAGAGAGACAAAAAACTTGAGTAGCTACAGAAACCATAGTGTGGGTTACATCTGCTTCTAACCGTATTAAATTAAAGCATAGGAAGACTGGCAAAGCCCCACCTATAATAAAGTTTAAAGAATAACAGAGCAAACTGTAAGCTACTAGGAAAGAAACATTATACGTGCTATTAAGCCTCTACGTTCCCCTCCCCCTCACAGTTCCTTTTCCACCACAGATAACCATTATCATCAACTTGGTATCTCTCCCTGCTTTGCTTTTGTTTTGTTTTTGAGAGAGAGAGAGAGAACCTGTGCGAGAGAAGGGGGTGGGGGCAGAGGGAGAGGGAAAGAGAGAATCTCAATCTCATGACCCTGAGCTCATAACCTGAGTCAAAATCAAGAGTCCGACGCTTAGCTGACGGAGCCACCCAGGTGCCCCTTGTTTTGTTTTTTATTTATATTTATTTATTTATTTATTTATTTGAGACAGAGAGAATGAGAGAGAGAGAGCACATGAGAGGGAGGAGGGTCAGAGGCAGAAGCAGGCTCCCTGCCGAGCAGGGAGCCCGATGCAGGACTCGATCCAGGGACTCCAGGATCATGACCTGAGCCGAAGGCAGTCGCTTAACCAACTGAGCCACCCAGGCGCCCAGTTTTTTAGATAACATTATATAATGCTCAATAGTAGTGCTTTGCACATTTTTTCACTGTAGCAGAATATTCATAACATAAAATTTATCATCTTAAGCATTTTTTTTAAAGATTTTATTTATTTTGAAATAGAGCGAGAACAAGAGAGAGGGCATGAGCAGGGGGGAGAGGAGAGGGAGAGGGAGAAGCAGACTCCTCACTAAGCAGGCAGCCGGACACGGGGCTCGATCCCAGGACCCCGGGATCATGACCCAAGCCGAAGGCAGACGCTTAACGACTGAGCCACCCAGGCGCCCCTCATCTTAGCCTTTTTTATTTTTTTTTTAAGATTTTATTTATTTATTTGACAGAGAGACACAGTGAGAGAGGGAACACAAGCAGGGGGAGTGGGAGAGGGAGAAGCAGGCTTCCCACTGAGCAGGGGGCCCGATGCGGGGCTCGATCCCAAGACACTGGGATCATGACCTGAGCCGAAGGCAGACGCTTAACGACTGAGCCACCCAGGCGCCCCTCATCTCAGCCATTTTTAAGTCTGCAGTCGTGTGGCGTTACATACCTTCACATGGTTGTACAACCATCACCACTGCCCACCTCCAGAACTTTTTCATCCTCCCGTCCTGAAACTCTGACCCAATTAAACATTCCTTCCCGCTTCCTCCAGCCCCTGGTAACCACTATCCTACTTGGTCTCTGAATTTGAATACTCTAGGGGTCTCATAAATGGAATCATGCAACATTCTTCCTGTGTTGGTTTCTTTCATTTAGCATAAAGTCCACACACACTGTAGCACATGTCAGAATCTCCTTCCTTTTCAAGACACATTCCATCGTACGTCTACACATTTTGTTTATCCATTCATCTGGCGATGGACATCTGGGTTGGCTTCACCTCTTGGCTACTGCGAATAATGCTGCTATGAACACTGGTGTACACATATCTTTTCAAACCCCTGCTTTCAATTTTGTGGGTAATACCCATGAGAACTGCTAGATTATATGGTAATTCTATGCTTCATTTTTTTGAGGAACCGCTTTGCAAATTTTTAAATAAATGTACGCAAACTATTTATACCTTTCTACTACCTACTATTTTTAGTCATCCCTGTTGGAGCTCCCAGCCTCAGGTTAGCACCAGAAGCACACTCTCAAACACATCAGCTACAATCCCAGCGCTCTCACCAAACCAGCTGCTCAGAAGAAGGGCAGGACCCAGCACAAGGCCCTGGACGAAGCTCAGTGGCCCTGGGCTTTTGCCATCCCACTGCAGAAAGGTGGCCTCTCACCGGTAATTGGCTGGAGCTCCACAAGGGCAGAGGACAGAGTGCTGCTGAGCACCCGGTACTGAGTCACAGCCATATGTGCGTTCCGGTTGCTCCGTGCTCTCACTATCTTCCCATCCTCCACGCGGTAGCCTGGGGACAGCGCCATCTGATGCCAAAGAAATCAAGATATGGTCACAAAGGAAGAGCAGAAAACCCAACCCCCTGGGGATGACAGTTCACCCACCTTGTAGTGCTGCTGCTGACCCTGCACCTCCTTCTCGATGATAGGGATATCCACGACTCCTGCTGGGGGCACCGGGACGCGCACAGTGATGGCCCTGGGCATGACACACAGACCCTGGCTTAAGCCATGAGGTGAGGGGGGAGCTCCTCGGGTTTGGCTGCTCAGAGGCTGTAACACTGGACCTTCTGCACTACTGTGCTCAGTTCTAAAGACTGGAGCATCCCAAGTGATCTCTTGTCACAGCATTTAGCCTGAGAGCTCGATATTAGTATCTTTTTTACTACTAATGTATACTAATTACAGAATATTTGGGAGAACACAGAAAAACAAAAAAATTATATTTATAACATGGTCTTTCCTTCCAGCCTTTAAAAATGAATATGTATAGTTTATTTTTTTTAATTTAAAAAAAAAAGATTTATTTGAGAGAGAGAAAGAGAAAGAGAGAGTGAGGGCGGGTGGAGGGGCAGAGGGAGAGGGAAAGAGAAACCCAAGCTGATTCTGCGCTGACTGTGGGTCTCAATCTCACAACCCTGAGATCACGACCTGAGCTGAAACCAAGAGTAGGATGTTTATTCAACTGTGCCACCCAGGCGCCGCAAAAATGAATATGTATAGTTTAAAATGAAATTAGGGGGGCGCCTGGGTGGCTCAGTTGTTAAGCGTCTGCCTTCGGCTCAGGTCATGGTCCCAGGGTCCTGGGATCGAGTCCCACATCGGGCTCCCTGCTCCGCGGGAAGCCTGCTTCTCCCTCTCCCACTCCCCCTGCTTGTGTTCCCTCTCTCGCTGTGTCTCTCTGTCAAAGAAATAAAATCTTAAAAAATAAAACAAAATAAAATGAAATTAGGGTAATATGGCTTTGTATCCTGTTTTTTATTTATTTTTAAAGATTTTATTTATCCATTTGACAGAGAGAGAGAGAGAGCACAAGCAGGGGGAGAGGCAGGCAGAGGGAGAAGCAGGCTCCCCGCTGAGCAGAGAGGCCAATGCAGGACTCAATCCCAGGACCTTGGGATCATGAGCTGAGCCAAAGGCAGATGCTTAACTGACTGAGCCACCCAGGCACCCCTGTATCCTGTTTTTTAAAAGATGGTTAAATCCTGACTGTGTATGAAATGAATGAAGAAGTAAATAAATGAACAGAATGAAGAATTCACAGGACCGCACCTGCCTGATTTGCCAGGTAGACAAATAGGGAGGAACTGGGCTCAAAGTCACAGAAACCACCACCACAACTCAATAAACATTCCAGATCACTTTTGTTGGAGGTGTCCTTTCATCATGTCTGAGGCAGGTAGAAGACCCTTTAATCTGTCCTTACGCTCATGCCTCTTCCAGGTCAATCACAAAGGAGTCCTTCTGGGTGGCCTATCATAGAATCGCTGACCGAGGGGTCAAAAGCCCATTCATATAACAATTCACAGCCTGGACACCTCACTTCAGGTTGGTAGCCGTTTGGGCTGCTGTCTGATATATTTTCTCATACTTAAATTGAGTTTTAACTGCTAGCTCACTCTTCCTAATGACATAACACTACTGCTCAAAAATGTTCACTCACTACATGCTCCATGAATAGAAACAGGCATTGATTTAGGTAGGTACTTCTTCATTCATTTCATACACAGATGAACAGATGAACAAGACAAAAATCCCCACTCTCAAGGAATTCAAAGTGTAGTAAGAAGATTCAAACAAAGAACTATAACAAGTCGCTATCACAGTAAGCCAGCAAATGCTAATCAGTTGCCTCCCATGTTCTACTTCGAACTACTTCCTACACCTGGTATTTAAGGCCATCATTAACTAGATTCCAGTCTACCTTTCCAGCATTATCTGTCACCATTCCCCCCTCCAAACTAGACTGTGTGCTTTATTCCTTTGTGAATGCCATTCCCACAATCTATAACACAGTTCTCCATCTTGTCTATCAAATCCTATTCATTCATCAACACACAATTAACGGATTTCAGTTCCTCCATGATGCCTGATACTGCGAATGGTTACCGAGTCTAAACTTTCATAAACAATTTTCACAAATAATATAACACTTTTTAAAAAAGATTTATTCTAGGGGCGCCTGGGTGGCTCAGTCGGTTAAGCGTCTGCCTTCAGCTCCAATCATGATCCTGGCGTCCTGGGACCGAGTCCCCCTGCATCAGGCTCCTTGCTCAACAGGGAGTCTGCTTCTCCCTCTCCCTCTGTGCTCTCTCTCAAGTAAATAAATAAGATCTTTAATTTAAAAAAAAAAAAGTGTTTTAAAATCTTTTTTAAAAAAAAGATTTAGTCTAGAGAGAGAGCATGAGAGAGAGAGAACGTGCACATGAGCAAGCAGGAGGAGGGGCAGAGTGAGAGAGAAAGAATCCTGGAGCTCAACGTGGGGCTTGATCTCATAACCATGAGATCATGACCTGAGGCAAAATCAAGAGTCAGCTGCTCAACTGACTGAGCCGCCCAGGCACCCCAACACTTTTTGATAGACTTATATTTGGATTACTAGGATACATAATAATAGTCTCAATTTTCAGTCTTTCAGCTCTTACTAGGAGCTAGGGACCGTGTTAAACAATTCATATGCATTGTCTCATTTAACTCTCTCAACTCCATTATTCTCATTCTTCCTATGAAGACAAAGCTTAGAGAAGTTTAATGACGTGGCTAAGGACCTGCACTGGTAAACAGCACAGCTGACAGGTGAACACGGATCTTGTTGAGCTCTTAGCTACTACGCTAAACTTCTTCCATTACCTGTAATCTCTTATTACAGTGGTTCTTATATTTTTTTTTGTCATCATAGTGGCAAACCCAAAAAATGCGTTGGTCAGCTGTAAGGGGAGGCGGGTCCTCACTACTCTAGTGGGAGAAAACCCGGCCTACCTAATAGTAGTTAACTATTCAAATATTAAATGTGTGAGGGGAGCCCGGGTGGCTCAGTCGGTTACGTGTCTGACTCTCGATTTCAGCTCAGGTCATGATCTTGGGGTCCTGGGATGGAGCCCCACGACAGGCTCCACACTCAGCTGGGAGTCTGCTGGAGATTCTCTCTCCCTTTCCATCTCCCACTGCCCCTTCCCTGGCTCATGCTCGCACTCACTCACTCTTTCTCTCAAATAAATAAATCTTAAAAAACAAAACAAAACAAAACAAAACAAAAACCCACCATCACCACCCAACAAAAAACAAATATTAAACGTGTGTACCCTTCAACTTAGCAATTCCATTTTTAGGAATCTGTCTTAAAGATATAATCACCTATTCTTTGCAACAGACTCTGAAAAATGGAAAGTTAACTAAATATCCCAATATTTAGTTGTCTTAGACAACTACAATTAACATTTATTCAGAAACATTTCAGTGTCCGTTAAGTTCTGGGCGTCCTGGGGTTTTGTTAGGTATACTCTGCGTGCGCACACATGCACACATTTTCTTTTATTCTTTTTAAAGTGCACACCACGAATACATAATTTCTTATGTATTTTTTGGCATCCGAATTTTGTAACATGAATATCTTCTATGTTTTATAATTTCTATGAACTCTTTAAAGGAAATTATCTTCTATAAGGTTTATATGTGGGGTTTGTTTGTTGAAAGATTTTATTTATTTGAGTGAGAGAGAGAGCATGAGCAGAGGGAGGGGCAGAGGCAGGGGGAGAAGCAGGCTCCCCACTGAGCAGGGAGCCTGACAACAGCGCTCGATCCCAGAACCCCGGGATTGTGACCTGAACTAAAGACAGATGCTTAACCGATGGAGCCACCCAGGCACCCCCAGGAAGTTATGATATACCATACAACACAACACTATAAAGCTCCTAAATGTACATGCAAAATGCTCTCCAAGATATATTGTCCAAGTGAAAAGAAGCAGGATGCAAAGCACTGCAAAATACATTGCCATACAATAATTCACTTATACATGCCTTGTATGACCCTGGAAGTTTACACAAGACAGTAGAATAGTGATTGCCTCTGCGGAAGAAAACTGAGTAGATGGGGGACAGGAGTAGGTTTCAGTTTTGTTCGTGTATCTTTCTTCTATTAAAAAAATGGAGGTAAACCTACATGCACTAACAAGGAAAGATCTCCAAGACACAGTTAAGTGGTAAAAGAAAGTATAGTGTTGGGGCACCTGGGTGGCTCAGTCGGTTAAGCATCTGCCTTCAGTTCAGGTCATGATCCGGGGGTTCTGGGATGGAGCCCCACATTGGGCTCTCTGATCAGCAGGGAGCTTGCTTCTCCCTCTCCCTCTGCCTGCCGCTCCCCCTGCTTGTGCTCGCTCTCCGTCAAATAAAATCTTTTTAAATAAAGTACAGTGTACAGGGTACAATGTAATGCACACACACCGAGTATGTATCAGACATATTCGTAAATACACTGAGTAAGGACCAGAGGGATAAAAACCAAACTACCCCAAGGGAAGGGACTAGAATGACAGAGTGGGTAGATTCTCCAAGTTTCTTCTTTTTTTTTTTTTTTAAAGATTTTATTTACTTATTTGACAGAGAGAGACACAGCGAGAGAGGGAACACAAGCAGGGGGAGTGGGAGAGGGAGAAGCAGGCTTCCCGCGGAGCAGGGAGCCCGATGCAGGGCTCGATCCCAGGACCCTGGGATCATGACCTGAGCCGAAGGCAGACGCTTAACCGACTGAGCCACCCAGGCGCCCCGAGATTCTCCAAGTTTTTTGCTTTATCTTTGTTGTTTGACTATTTTACCACAGGAATGAAATCACATACTACTTGTATAATTAGTTTTCAATAATTTCTATGTACAACCACAATTAGGAGCCACTATTCTATCAGACTCCAATATTTTTTTTTTTTTTTTTTTTTTACAGACTCCAATATTCTAAGCACTTAAACCTGTTTCCTGTATTTTTCACATGCCCACACGTCCTAGCACAGTGCCCTCTCCTAACAGGAGGTCCTTCCATACAAATGGACGAAGAGATAAAAGGATGCCTTCATTTATACCAGTTCTACCAACTGCTAGCGATGGGCTCCATACCAGTACTTCTTTGCCACTTGACGGGTTCTAAACAGCTCTTGGACTTGATGTGCCACTTCCTTCTCCCAGGCCAACACCATTACCCCTGTAGTTTCCTTGTCCAGCCGGTGGCACAGATGCAAGGGCTCTGCCTTGTGGCCATGAAGCATCTTTGCCAGGATAGGCAATACATCAGTGATGCAGAGCTGGACCCCAGGGCCACCTAAAAAGGGAAGAGCCAGAGGTTTTAGTGGCCAGTAAAAGATCCCACCAGGGCGCCTGGGTGGCTCAGATGGTTAAGCGTCTGCCTTCGGCTCAGGTCATGATCCCAGGGGTCCTGGGATCGAGTCCTGCATCGGGCTCCCTGCTCGGCGGGGAACCTGCTTCTCCCTCTGCCTCTGCGTCTCTCTCTCTGACTCTCATGAATAAATAAATAAAATATTAAAAATAAAAAAATAAAAAAAATAAAAAAATAAAAGATCCCACCAAAGAACTCTACCTGGGAAGAAAGTCAATGTTTTCAAGAGCTTTATTACTGAAATGTGGTCCAGAAACTGGCAACACTAGTATGTTCAGGGAGCTTGCTGGAAAGGAATCTCAGGCTCCCAACCCAGATTATTAAATCAGAATCTGCATTTTTTTTTTTTTTTAAGATTTGATTTATTCATTTGAGACACAGAGATACAGAGAGAGAGAGAGAGCATGAGCAGAGAGAGAGGCAGAGGGAGAGGGAGAAGCAGGCTCCCTGCTGAGCCAGAAGCCTGATGTGGGGCTCGAGCCCAGGACCCTGGGATCATGACCTGAGCCGAAGGCAGACACTTAACCATCTGGGCCACCCAGGTGCCCCCAGAATCTGCATTTTAACAAGATGCCCAAGGGACTCACATGCCTATTGAAGTTTAAGAAGCACTGTCCTAGAGCACGTGGCTTTCTCCTCAGACATATATATACTTATTAATCTACCTGAATACTCACAATAAAATCAGCAATCAAAGTGAGGAGGTCTGGTATTTCACCATATAAACAAAGGCTTGAGAATTTGCCAAGTAAACTCGAGTGATAAATACAAGACTGAGGCTCTCCTGAGGCATTACAGAAGAGCTAAGAAGATGGGCTTTAGGTGAGATGCTCCTCTGTTCTATTCTAAGCCTAACTAGCCATTGGCCCGGAACAGATGATTTTATCTTTCCAACTTGCAGTTTTCTCATCTATAAAATGTAAATATCTAGATAATAATTGTTTCATGGGGAATGGGAAGAAAAAGATCAAGAGAGAAAAAGAAAATACACAGAACACTTGGCAATGTCTGACTTCATTCCTTGTCTTCATGCTTTTCTCCATACCTCCCCAAAAAGCATTCTTCTAGCTCAACTATGCCTTTTCCCCCAGTAAATCCCTTTCCCAAATGCATTTTTTTCTATCAATCTTTCCTGTCTCACTCGAGCTGTCTTAGACTACATTTAACGTTTATTCAGAAACATTTCAGTGTCCGTTAAGTTCTGGGCATCCTGGGGTTTTGTTAGGTATACTCTGTGCGTGCGCACACATGCACACACACATTTTCTTTTATTCTTTTTTAAGTGCATACCATGAATACATAATTTCTTATGTATTTTTTGGCATCCGAATCTTGTAACACGAATATCTTCTATGTTTTATAAATTTTTATAAACTCTTTAAAGGAAGTTATCTTCTATACAGGTTTATATGTGTGGTTTGTTTGCTGAAAGATTTTATTTATTTGAGTGAGAGAGCATGAGCAGAGGGAGGGGCAGAGGCAGAGGGAGAAGCAGGCTCCCCACTGAGCAGGGAGCCTGACAACGGGGCTCGATCCCAGAACCCCGGGATTGTGACCTGAACTAAAGACAGATGCTTAACCGACTGAGCCACCCAGGTACCCCCAGGTTGATATGTGTTTGTGTGTGTGTATGTGGATCCCGCGTACGTTTTCAGTAGTGGAGGCCTCTCTACAGGGCAGTTTAATTTTTGCTTTGGCTGGAACTCCATTTTTTTTTTTTTTTATCAGTTTTCATATTGGTTTCTGTGATTGGAGTTTCTGCATGTTTAGGTGTCCTTATTTGATCCTTGCCCATGCATAGTATAAGATCTGATTTTTCTCAGGTTATTCTGTCTCCACTCAAGGCCTGAGGTGGCTGACTGATTTATGCTGCAGTTTTGGGCTTGTGGGTTGAGATTTTCTGATCTTTGTTCAAAGAAGATGGACTATTTTCCTTGGTCTGGACTTAACTGATGAAATTGTACTCTGGATCATGTGAACAAAAACGTGCAATAAATCACCATGGTTAAAAAAAGACACGTGAAGCAAATTCAGAGCCATTATATGGAAATACCATTACTTATAGAAGGTAATAAACTACCAGAATACATTATCCACAAGAGATTTATAGGCCGAAAATAGAGTTATTTATGAAAATTAGTGAAAGTGGGAAAATTGTGAATAAAGGCAAAAATATAGTGGTGTCATTGTTGGAAGGGGAAATGGTGAGAACCTTAATATATTAAGCCCTATATATTTTTTTCTTATATGTCATTTCTTCTTTCCCATTTTTTTTTTTTTTGAAGATTTTATTTATTTATTTGACAGAGAGAGCGATATATCAGGGGCAGGGGGGAGGGGCAGAGGGAGAGGGAGAAGCAGACTCCCTGCTGAGCAGGGAGCCTGACACAGGGCTGGCAGATGCTTAACCCACTAAGCCACCCAGGCACCCCTCTTCTTTCCCAGTTTTGATGTAAAATAATAGGGAGACAAGAACCACAGAGCCTTAGTATTTCTCTATAAAAATTCCCGTGGAGCTCTGGACACAGTGCATTCCATAAATCACTGCTGACCGCCCAATGTTTGGAATGCAGAGGCTGTCTTTTATATCTGTGTCCTCAGTAGTGCCTTATACAGGACTATAGTGCCTTATATAGTACTCCATAAAAAATTATTCTGAATGCAAGTCTTTAAGGAGCCCCACAAGCAATGTGTCAAAGTCATCCCTAATTGTAGTGAAAACGGAAGCAGCACCCCTCCCTCTCCCACATGGTCTTTACCATGCACAGGGAGACCGTAAGGTTTATTGATGACCACGAGATCCTTATCCTGGTGCACGATCCCTCGGCTCAGAGCCTTAGCAAGCACGTTGGGGTGGACTCGCTGCAGCTGCTGTGTGAACCGCACTAGTTCTTGCACCCTCCGCTGAACAGGGCTTGTGGGCACCTACGGGGAGAGCAGCAACAGGAAATGACTGGTGAAGACCTTCAGTAAGTCTGGGTGGGAATTTGGGTTGGGAACGACCATCTCTGCATTGAACTCGCGCCTTCCCCGAATAATTTGAGAGCGGCAGTGCATGTCTGTCTTACCTGTCTCCACGCAGTGCTCAGGGCCGAGGCCGGCAGGAGCCAAAGACCCAGCCCGCAGGAAGATATGGTACCGTCCTGACCTCTTCCCTTCCCTTTCTCCCCATTCTTCCACAGGTCCTCCACATTTACTTAACATCCGTCAGAGGACCCTCCCACCTCACGCCCAGCCGGGGAATCGGTGAACGCACTGCCTCTTGGGAGTTGTGGTCCTTTCGGACTCACCGGCTGTTTCTTCGTCTTTTGTTCCTGTTTCTGGGCTCGGAGCTTCTCCGCTAATCGCTGGGCACTCACGGTCCCAGACGCAGCAGCGACCGAAGAAAATGGCTTTGAGACGAGACTAAAGAGACTCCCCAAACGCTGCTTGGAACCCCGGACCCACTGGCCCGGCGCGTTACAGCTGGGTGCCGCCATCTTGTCAAAAAGGGAGGGGCGAGTCTAGACCACGTGCGGAAGAGGGGCTAGAGGGAGGAGGGACTGGGCGGGTCCTGAGGGTCATGTGGGGGCGTGGGGGCGGGGTCTGGGCCGAGTCACGTGGGGCGGTGCGCGCTGAGTGCGGCTGCGCCGGCCGGTAGCTGCAGCTGGAGCGGTGGCGTTTGCAGGAGACTCGGTGAGTGTTTGGGAAGCCAGGCTGGGGCTAGGAAATGCCGGTTCTTCAACGCTTTAACGTTTTCGCGTCTCCGGGGCTTCTGTTCTCGGAGAGCACTGCCCCGGGAACCGTTTCTCCCAGTGGGAGAAGACCCCACTCAAAAACACTTCCCCGCCCCCGCGCCCCGTGGAAGCGATGCCCCATAAACGCTCGCCCCAGAGCCGCCTTAGGCGCCTACCTCGTCCCTCTTGGCAACCACATCCCTGGTGTCCGGCCAGTCGCCCGAGGGACGCGTCGTGTCACCTCTCATTTCCTTGCCGCTCGACCTTCGGAGTTGCCTGGATCTCTGTAGGCTCCCCACCCCTCACCTCCTCTTTGTTGCAGGTTGTAACCTGTCCTTCTCTCCCAGGGGTAATGGGCAACCCTTCCGTTATCCAGGGTCCCCAGCTGGTATTCCTACCTAGGGAACACCTTGAGTTTCTTCTGTTCTTCCTCAAGAATTCATTTTTGGAGTCTCCTCGCCCCCTACGCTCTCCCTGCTCCTTCCAAAGACAAGACTGAAAATGCAGTACAGAGCACGGACCTTCCTTCCCTTTTATGCTTCCTTCATTTTTTCCCCTCCCTACTTTGCAACCGCCCCAAACCTCTCCCTCTCTTCCAAGGTGCAGTGTTGGAACTCCCATGCCCAAACTACAAGGGACTCCCTCTGATTTCACCGAGGGGTGGCTGGAAAGATGAACCTCTGGTTGGGGTGATAATGTGAAAAATACCTTGGGACATACCTGCCATTTGTTAAGAAACCTAATGGCGAGTTCCGAAGGGATGTTCAGAAAACTAATGGATCTGTACCGACATTAGAGGAAACGATTTTTTAAGACTGCTGAGAATGAAGGCTCCTTCAGGTGTTCGAGTAGGTGGTAGTGGAAATAGGTTTGCGACTTACCCCTCTGAAAGGGATTGGCAGAGGGAGCCATATTGGGCACGAAGTAAAGTTGAACAGGTGAGTGGAGCTAACCTATAGAAGACTTCATAAGTCGAAGAAGAGTTTGAGCTAGATGTTAGAAGTAACGAGGAGTGTTTGAAGCTTCTTGAGCAGGAGAGAGAGTCCTTGAATTCTAGAAATGAATCTGGCAGTTGAATGCAGGACAGATTGAAGAGAAGAGGGCTTTGATAGCAGGCAGATTAGCTGGGATGCTGCAGTCTAGGGGAACAGTAAAGAGGTTATGCTTCGTCCGTGGTCTTTCCCCCTACACTGTACTGTTCTTTGCGTTGGAATTGATTTTGAGTACAGGTCAGGATGTATCATTGGCAGCTGATGTTGAAGTCTGAGTCCCTTGAGGACTTGCTCATGGTTTCTTTGTAATTCCCACATCAGGCACAGAGTAAACTCAGAAATATTCATTCCTTAGATGGCTGCAGTGCATCACAGACGTGTATTAGATGTGCCTGAACATTTGAGTTGTCTTCTTTCTGTCAGTTTTTGACCTGAAAAATGGAGGTAGGAGTAAATGTATTTGTAAAGAGTGGGGAGTATGTATCTTGTGTATGTATCTGTAATAAGACAGGTGATCAGGATATAAATTCGAAGAATCCCGAGGGAGGTTGGGAAACAACTCTTTTTTTTTCCTGCAAATTCACAGGTAAGATGTAGATCTATAACAGTTGAGAATTGCTATCTTTTACTGATACGCTCCAGACCCAGGTTCTGATTTTATTCCTTGCACTTAGGTACATGAAGCCTCCTTTTCCAAGGACTCTGAAATGTGAATGTCAGGATTTAAATTTATATCGTTACATTAATTACAAACTTGTTTTAGGTATAGGACTTCTTTTTTTTTAATTTCTTTTTTTTTTTTTTTGAAGATTATTTGACAGAGAGAGACACAGCAAGAGAGGGAATGCAAGCGGGGGGGTGGGGGAGGGAGAGGGAGAAGCAGGCTTCCCGCCGAGCAAGAAGCCCGATGTGGGGCTCCATCCCAGGACCCTGGGATCATGACCTGAGCCGAAGGCAGACGCTTAACGACTGAGCCACCCAGGCGCCCCTAGGTATAGGACTTCTATGGTTTTGTGTAAGGGGTGTTTCTCCCTTAACCTGTGCTTGCGTTCAAGAAATGATACCTGTTCTTGCAGAATTGGCATTCTGTGGCAGGAAACAAATGAAGAACCAACTCAGATGTCAATGCTGGTGACAGCTTGTGTTCTTGGGTTTCAGGTACCCCAAGGTACACACCATAGTGCCTAAGAATAAAAACACCGGTCAGGTTTTTCTAGAGAAGGAACTTCCAGGGTTTTCTTTTAAACTGAGAGAAATATTTGAAAAATTCAAAGACTTTGTTTGTTATCACAGTACAGCTTTAGCCAATATGGGTACAGAAGCTATATTTTAATGTTTATGGCATGTGGTTATTTAGAGTTGCTCTCTGCATATACAAGAATTTATGGCAAATAAGTTGTCTGTCTTTTGTTTTTTAATGCTATATTGCCTCTTTCCTCTTCCTCATTCAATTGATTTTATTTTAGGCAGTTCATTTTTCCACTTCAGCACCAATGCCATGTTCTCTTTTTGCTTGAGGACTCCTCTTGTCTGTACTGTTCTCTCAGTACAAGGAAGAAAATTCCATTAGTGATGTCTAGTGGTGTCTTCGTTCTACAAACATGACTTATTTACATAGATTTTGATATATCGTAATGTGTTCCCCCCACATAAGTATTTAAAGAAGTACTTGACCACATCTGAAATATCAAGGTAATATCACAGTATTCCTTGAGGACCAGTGAAACACAAATACAAAATGGTTCACAATCTCATTCCTTCTAGAAAACCTTACAGGCAGCAAAGCATGTTTAGTGTTGAAATTCTAGCCATTTACCACCTGGATTACGTGGAACAAATCACTGTCTTTATGTGTGAAACTGGAGATGTAATAATATCTCTGTGAATTGTGAGAATTTAATAGGAAAAAATTTGTAAAACTTTTATACAGTATAAGCTGTATTATGTTCCAGTTAGATTTATATGTTAAAAAGCTATAGTTTATCTAAACCTTTCTCTGGAAGCAAGGTTAGGAAGAATTCATTTATTGACAAAACTTTAATGTCATTTCATACCAGCAATTTTATTTACATAGCAAGAACATACAGGTGTCCATTGTAAATGTCAGAGATCACCTCAACATATCAGAGCTTCACTCAGTTTGAGAGCCAATAAAGGAAGGTTTTCTAACTTTCCAAAAAAATAAAAAATAAAGAAGTACTTGATAATTCATTTTTGAGTATTTCCTGATCTGTGCAAGAACAAGATCACCTTTTTATTTCACAAATATAAACAAAGAGTGACTAATAAAGGACCTCGTGTTTAAATATCACAAATTTAAGATTAGTAAGTGGCATGAAGTTAGATTCTGGCTTCTCAAATAATGATTTGCAAGTTGCGGATTAATAATAATTCAGTTCCCTGAGGAGCAGGAAGTACTTGGATGATTTATGGTTTTAGATTCAAAGAAGCAATTAGCAGGAGCTCCTTGGAGGTGTCTTGGAGAGTGACGTTACTGGCAGCTGGGAAATCTGGGGACTAGTCCCAGCTTAGCTGCTTGTGAACCTGAGCAAGTAACTTGGGCTCAGTTTTTTGTCTTTTTTTTTTTTTTTTTTAAAGATTTTATTTATTTATTTGAGAGAGAGAGAATGAGAGACAGAGAGCACAAGAGGGAAGAGGGTCAGAGGGAGAAGCAGACTCCCCGCCGAGCAGGGAGCCCGACGCGGGACTCGATCCCGGGACTCCAGGATCATGACCTGAGCTGAAGGCAGTCGCTTAACCAACTGAGCCACCCAGGCGCCCAGTTTTTTGTCTTTTAAAAGAAGATCCTTACAGCTCCAACCTTCTATTCTTTGAAGATTTTCCATTGACACTTACATACTTTCTTAACAAGTGAAATTTATTTTAGACTTATCTTGCATACATTTAGCATAAGCACAGAGAATCGGGATTCTGCCCTTGTCTCCAGAATTTAATCTTATGCCACTGAGCTAACATTTATATTTGGAGGTCACTTCATTGAATGCTGCTGGAATATACCTTAAGATTTCCCAAGTGGGGCATGAGAGGGAGTGCAGATAGAGAAAAAAATATTAGAAAGCAGTGGTTTTCTAAAACATTGTAGTATAACCCATAATATGGGTGTTCTTTTTTCCATGTCAGCATTTTAAAGAGATTCCATTATACTAATGCCCCTCATTATACCTTTATTTGGCTTTTGAGTGATGCTCAAGACAGGTCTGGCCTAGACCAGTACTTCCCATACTTTTTCATGTCATGGTACATGTGGAAATAATTGTTGTTTCGTGGAGGAAAACTAGAGGCTGCCGACAGAAGACTGCTGGCCTGGGAGCTGAGGCTGAGTCCATTCCCCACCTGACCACATCATAGACCGAAGAGATCCCTAGGCTGTGGCCTGTTTGACCATTTAGGAAAGTCAGAATTAAACAGTCAAGGTCTTTGACCAAACTCTATTGGGAGGAATTGTGTTGTTAGTTGTATTTGTTAAATCTGCCTCTATTTTATTTCTCTCTCATGTGCCTTTATGCTCTTGGCTAGTTTATATTTGAAGATCATACTTACCCTTACAAAGTGACCTTTCTAAAAGTTTGTGAAAACTAGTTCACTGGTGAAGAGATGGGAAATGCTTTTGTCACAGTGTTTTGATCTCCTTAGATTATGAGCAGTCTTGCTCTGCCTACTTAGAGAAGATAGAGAATCTCTTTAAATAGTTTATGTTTTCCATTATAAAAGTAATACAGAAAATGTGTAAAGTAGAGTGGGGGAAAAATCATTCATAGCTGTTTCCCAAATATTGTTAATATCA